TCCACAGATTTCGCCAAAATTCTCCACAGATTACTATTAGCTTCATTTATGAGACTGCACAGAGAACTGTGAAATCTCCTTTGAACTCTAAGGGCCAGATGGTTTTGCTGTTAGATCCTAATGACCCACAGCAGTGTGCATACACAGACACCACGGTTGCCAGTTGACTGCAAACATGTAATGGAGGCATGAGAATTCATGACCTGTGCTTCCAAAATACAAGCCAATCCTGCTTGGATAAAGGGGGCATCTCGCCCTTGCTTTTCATGGGCTAAAAAAACATTTCTGCTATGTCCTTGAAAGAAAGAGAGTTTCTACAGGAAGCTGTGAGCATACCTGGACTAGAGGAGTGAATGACAGGCACACCATCCCATGCAATCCTGCAGATGGTCATGAAGCTGAAAGTAGTTGTTGCCCAGAGGTGAGGGCTCTTTTGCAGGCTGCATTGTATCATGGTACTGGAGGAGATAGGGAAAGGCTGGACTCAAACCAATTAAAGCTGTAGGGCAGAACAGTAGTTCCTCTGCTGTCATATGGAACTGCTTGGAAGACATGATTTATTTTGGATTATATTGATTTCAACTGGTATAATATGAAGTTCCTGATTTTTCAAGGCTGTGTAGACAAAAAGACTAAATATGGTTTTACTCATCTTTTAATTTAGAACTACAAGTGTTTGGGTGACCTATGAAATTATTTTAATGATTTCTGCACAACACTGAGCTGTCAGCACTATAAATGTCATCCTAACTGGGTATTAATTTCCATCATGGTCATTTAGTCTCACCAGTAGAGCTACGTCCATGCGAATGTCTTGTCTGTGTCAAACTGAGGGAATAAAAGAGAATCACTGTTGCCAAGAAGCATCAGTCAAACATCTTCATAATACTCAGTTTGAAGAGGAAGACACAAACACAAAATCTAGGAGCGCTGTGAGTGTGCCTCTTGCCCTTGGAGCTTCAGGCACAGCAGTCAGGGAATGATTTGCATTCAAACCAGAGCTTTTATCTCTGATCATTAAAAATGTGCTCCAGCATTGCTCATACTAGTTGACATAGACTTACCCTTTTTCCTTATTTTTATAACACTATGAAAAGTCACAGGGTAAGAAGTACTCCAGTGTATGAGAAGTGTGACAAAATGAATTTGAGACAACTTTGGAACACTGGTACAAGATGAATATAGACTCATCATATGAAGCTGCCCTTTTGTTCCTCTATAAAAGGCAAAGAAATTGTTTGACCAGTAACTGTGTAGGCTATAAGGATGCATCTAAAATATTGACAAAGAGTAAAGTAACAGAATTTGAAAATAAAATAAAATGAGGTATGTGGTGACAGAGGAGGAGTGGAAGAAGTTTCTAGTAGAATATAAACAGTTGGGCTTTGACCATCCAAAAATTACAGCAAAGATAAAACCACCAAAACCTTTGTGTACTTCCTTTATTAGGAGGTTTATTTTTTTATCTGCTCAAAATTAGGAATCTTATCCTGAAGTTTTAAATCATTACCTTTTGCCTTAGCTCACATGTGCCTAATAGTTTAAACATGGCAAAAGGAACCTTGCTGTATTTTAGATTTTTTCTTGCATTGGTAGACATTTAAATGACATGATCACAGGGTTTTTCCAACACTGTCACTTGTTCTTTCTGTCTCATACAGGTTTAAGAAAGTGACTTAAGGTTAACTTGTACGTGGATATAATGTAAAAAAACCTGAATTTTTCTTTCAAGTGTGTGGTATTTCAGCAGATGCACATTCAGTTTACAACAGTTGTTTCTTAAACAGGGTAAAAATAAAATGTGAAAGTCCTGTGTTGCACAAAGCTCCCCTGACATATGATCACTGACATAAGTGAGGGAGCCTCTGACAGAGCAGAGGAAGGTCTGCCATCTTACTCTGCCGACTCCTGAAGAGTTCAGGACTCACGTCTTGTGTACAGCTTTATTTTGCTCCAAAGCACCTCTTTTAAGTCTCTTGTCCTTGGCTTTTTTATGGTTCCAGTCTTTTCCATGACCAAGACAGATTCTCTTTCTTTCCAGCAGTTGCAACACTCTTTTGAATCAGAGGTGTCTCCTTTGAAGCCCTGAAATGATCTCTTAACTCAGTGAACGCAAAGCTTAGCGTTTATATTTACACTGTGTCAAAAAGTTTCCAAAGGCATCACATCCACAACAGTTAAATAAATGAAAGGGGGCGCTTGGGAAATTTCTCATGGTCCCTATACACTTCAGGCCTTCTGGTCTGGGGTGACCTAGGTGAGCTAACACTGCAGTCCTCGCAGGACTGGACCTGGCTGGATTTGTCCAGCCTGCGTTTATCGAGAGAGCTCTCCCGGCCTGCAGCAGGAAACGCAGTATGTCCCTGATTGGGTCCACCAGCCACAAGCTGGAGCCCTCAGCGTGACACGGGTGGGCACAGCTCCCGGCGTGTCTGTGGGGTGTGCCGTTCATACCAGCTGAGGGGCTGAGCCCTGCTTTCCAGCTTTCATAGCCGTGCTGCTTCCATTTAAGGAAGAAAGCATAACACACACTGAACTCCAGATCCCAAATCCAGTGGAAAACTATCCGGCAGTCAGCAAGCACTGCCAGGGAGCGCTCGACATGAAGCACTACGATAGCAAAGGTCTCAAATGACTAGGATTCTTGAAAGCCTTGGTCAGTATCAGAGACAGTTTCCAACTGGGCAAAGTACAATATTTTCCCTCTGCTTTTTATGAATGGCTGGATAGGATTGTGCTGGAGTCAGAGTCCCCTGCGAAAGCCATTCATAAAAATAACAACAAACCAAAACAAACGCACACACAAAACTTTCTAGGTCCAGTCCAGAGCCACTGGGTGCCAGAGGCTGGGAAAACATGCTGGCAACTCGAGCCCCAGCTATCACTGAAAGTATTCAAGGGGCTTTTTGGTGGTCTGAAAAGTATGAAGTGCTGTGTAGAAGGGCAGCTGGTAGAATTACTGTGACACATACTAGGCAGAAAGCCAGAGCTGGCCTTGTTTCAGACATTGTCTTTCCTCTCATTGAAGTGTCAGGACCTAATTCATGGAAAATTTGGTGAGTTGGCAGCTCTTTCAGAAGATTTCATTGAGCTACAGTGTGTGAGAGTCACATGAATGCAGAGTGCACAGCCAAAAATATATGGGGATTTCTGAGCAGGAAAAAAACAGTCAGCCTCTAAGAATGTGTGTGGATTTCATGTGGCTTGAGAGTAAACACGTGTACAGGTGTAATCAGCAGGCAAAAAAAGAAAATAAAGCAGAAAAGCACCAGTGGCAGATTACTGAAGAGCTCAATGAGTTCAGTAATTACAAAGGATTTCTTTGAAACAAATCATTCCTTTGTCCAAGGGCAGCAAATGTCCATTAATGAGTTCAGGGCTTGCAGTCCACCTGGAGAAGGCATCAGTAAAGTGTGTGCCTTGGTAATAGCTTCTCCATTGCAAGGGAATTTAATGGAAAAGAAAAGGGTCCACCCTGAAGTTTAAAGACTGACCCAGTCATCACATAGGGTTTTTTTTTTCTCATATTTATTTGAGAGCAGAACTTGGAGCCTGGGGCACAGACACGAAAATATAACAGCCATAGGATTCCACTGAATTAGAAAAAGACTAAAAATAAACAAAGCATCTCTTGTTAAAATGGGACACTTGTGTTGGGCAGTCTGAATTGAATCAGTTACATTTAATTTACATTTTCATTGATCCTTCCCACTGAAATATTGCTCTGAAAGGCCAGTTACACTAAACTGCTTATTTAGAAATATTCCAGTTATTTCCTACTACACTGTCATGAAAATTGGGTTTTTGGCCATGCAGAGGGACAGCATGTTGGCTTCTGCCCAAGCGAGGCACTAAAATCATGGCTAGGATTAGGACCAGGCAGGAAGGAAGGGCAGGAAGAAAATCATTGAGTGCAATTCATATACTTTGAAAACAGAAAGTCAGGGGGAGGGGAGGGAGGCTGCAGCTTTGCCCCACTGAAGTAAGAAAAGCCCTTTTGTGCTCGTGGTGTCAGGATTTCATCCTTTATCTGTGGTCTTATTGTTCAATGCTGCTCCTAGCACCCACAAGGGTTGTCACATCATCTGGGTGGTGCTGGTGTATTTTAAATGCGCCTGTATTGGTTCTTTATGTGGTGCTCCTCTTCCTTCCCCAGGGTGGGGCTGAAGCACACTAGTACCTTGGTGGGTCTTCTGACTCATGTGGGGACAACGTTTCCCATTACCAGGTGCGAGCAGCCAGAAGGGAGACTTGCTGAGGAGCCCTTGGCTGTACCACCAGGTCCTGCATAGGCAGGTGGACATGGCCTCCAGCTCTCCCTGCTCACACAGTCAACCTGCCTGATGATGGGCATACCCAAAAACACGTCAACAGGCTCATGAGGGTCAGCGCAACATCACCTTTGTGCACCTAGAGATCTCAAACCAGAACTTCTGAGGGCTGAGGCCACTGCCTGCCCCAGCCTCCTGGCTTTGGCAGGGATGGCTTTTATCAGGTGGGAAGCCCTGGCTCGCAAATCGGGTTACGTGTACCTCATCTCTCTGCCCAAGCTGTGCTCCTGTTTGTGGCCAAGGGAAAGGCTTCACCACAGTGGGACACTCCACTCATAACTGAAAGTGTGGTAAGAGAGTGAAGTGGAGACAACAAACCCTAGTTACAAAATCAGGCCACTCTCAGTCTGATAAGTAGTGCAGCGAAGTAACTCTAGCAGTACCATAGAAGAGCTGAAAGATGCTAAATTAGATTTCACCTTGGTTTTAATTATACAAACTTAACATACTGCTCTGCATCAACAGTAATCTGAACTACTTCAGAGCAATGTCACAGATAGGTGTAGGAGAGGCTGGGTGTGAGAGCTGGGTATGTTCATCACTCCATAATTGAATGTGGGCTTTGCTTGTGTTTTATTTCTATTGCTGAAAACATTTTTCCCACCATCTGTGAAATCACGGTTAAGTGACCTCAATGAGTTTCTCACCGTGCTTTTGTTTACTTTTCAGCCTCAACAAGTGGTTCAGAAGAAGCCTGCTCAGGTAAGAAAAGCTAATTTGAATTCTTTAGACTAATCTAAATGAAATAATTCTTCCGTATTTAAACAGGTCTCCTTTACTGTAAAGAATGAAGGGAAATACATCAATCGTTAGAGCTGGGGGACAGCTGTTGGCTCAGTAGGCACAACCACCAGAACAGTTTATGCAGTGGCCCTTGGGAAGGAGAGGAGGAAGCAGCAGAGAGTGCTTGTTTCGTGCTCTTTCTGCAGAGGCCATCTTGCCATGATAATGCAGGCACATGCACACGCAGCATGTGATAGGTATGTCTGTGTGTCCTGAACATGGGTTAACTGGGGACTGCTTCCAGCAAGGAGGAGACATAGGTATAAAAACCTTCTCCCCACTGGTCTGAAGGAGCCTCTAAATCCACACAATAAAATTGGCTGAACTTGGTAACTAGACTGGATCCATCATAAAGACTAACACATTTGAACTTTTTCTGTTGGATTGTATTATTCCTCTTTAACACCTTTGGACAAAGTGCAAGCCACAAGGCATTATGAAACTGGTCAAACACTGCATTTATGGTTGCCTCCATTTTCTTTCCCCAGCCTGCCCTGTGTTAAAAAAACCCAAAAATCTAACTATGCCACTTCATTATATATATACCAGCAGAGGAAAGACTGTGGGCATGGGAGCAGGTCCATCACTGCTTGGCAGAGTCCGTGGGCTGTGCTGCTGTACCTCCATGCTCAGTCAAGAGCATAAAGGGTCCATTGCTGTTCTGGAAGGAGGTCTGCTTTCAGAAGAGAATAATACTTCTGGTTTTCTGACTTATGGTTTCAATACATTATTGTACAATGTACATTATTGTGTAATAATAACTGTAATCTGAATTAGGAGCTGTTACATAAGAAACAGAAAACATCCTAGCTGTGAGTTGAAGGGGTGAAATGATATAGCTCTCCAAAGCATGTGCAGGAATCAGGTTTCTACAAAAGAAATCAATACAGTCACAGCAATGGTGAATCCATGGCACTGGCAGTAATATTAATGTCTCCAAATGGCAGAGATAACATACAGGATAAATGTAGTAGTATTTTCAAGTGAGGTAGGTTTTGCAAGGAGAGGTAATGTCTTGCATTAGGCCAGCTTATGCAAGAAACACATCAGTCCCCAAGGACTTACCGTCTATAACCTTCTGACTACACCACACAATTCAAAACACACCAAGTTGTTCTAATAAAAGGTATTTCCTCTCCCTGGCCTCATTTACATCCTTCAACTGTTACAACCGCTATCGGGATATTCCTACTACAACATGGTAGTAAATCTGCCAGTGGGCACAAGGCCAGTCATCTCTTCTGTGGCACCTGAGAGACAGGGAGGCTTAAACCGTGCTGTGCAAAGGAGGCCAAATCTGGGAGGCAAAGACTCCTGGGAGACGGTTCATGTTGCAGTTTCCTCTGGTACGTAGCAGAGCTCATCCCCGCTGGGGTCAGCAGGATGAAGGGGTCTAGAGCTAGTTGCTCTGCCTGCAGCCTAGCCTGGCACAAGCCATTGCTGCCAGTGGCATGTGTGCTGGTCTGAGGTCTTCAATCTGTACAGGCACTTACCCCTGTATGTGTTTTGTTTGACCAGAGATCAAGTGCTAGCGCTAGTGCAAGAGAGGAAGAAATGTCTGGGACTGAGGCTGGGCTGGGGCATGGGAGGACAAAGAGGGGACCTGGGACTCCCTCTTTTGGTAGCAGAATGAAGTAATGACAGATTTAATTGATGGTGAAATGATGTAGGCGTTTAAACTAAAGCACCAGGATTCCCTGTGTGGATTCTCCTGTCCCTACTTTCCTAAAGCAGTGATTCCAGTGGGGATACCGTAGGGTGTTTTAGCCAGACGGACGCGGCCGCTGCTGCACAAAGCCTCGACAGCATCTCTGTGGTCACGGAAAGAGAGAGATAAGGAGGCCCTTTGGCATTCCCATTAGTAATGGAAATGTTTGTATAGAAAATGAGGAGGAACAGAAGAATTCATGAAAGTAGAGAGAGGGCTTTTTAGAAATCTCCAGTCATCACAACACAACTAGTGAAACTGCACTCTTTAAATTGTTTGTGTGCCATGTCTTCACTCAGAGAACATTGCCTTGTTTTTTAATCCTTGGCCTCAGGGATGTTCATCGAAATCACTGACTTGTCTTTAACCCTTTCTGGTTTTAACAGGCCACTCTCCCACTCTTACGTTAGCACAACATTGAGGTTTTCCTGGGTGTGGGTACATGGAAAAAAATTATCACTGTGAGCAAGCACTCATGACAGTGTCTTCCTGAGGTTGAAAGGAGGAGGTAAAGCAGTGTAATTCCTGGGACGATCAGGTACTTCATGCTGATGGGTTTCACTTAAGTCCAGTTGCCTTTCTCTGATTTCTTTTTACACTACTGAATTTCCCTTTAAAGGAGGGAGATTCATACTCAGAATTAACAACAAGAACATGAGCTCATGCAGGCTTCCTAATCTGAGCTGTCTAAGGAAATAGTGATAAATTATATAAACATGGGGACTACATGGAAGTTCATGGAGGATAATGTAAATCTTACACTGCATGCAGAGGAATCTCTTCCTTTTCCATCTGTTTCCTTCAAAATATCCTCCCAGATGGCTTTACCATGTGGCAGTCTGGACTAAGTTAGAAATGTATCCTTTCTTCATCAGTGGGGACCGTAAGAGGTTACACTTGAGAACTGCTGTGTGATAGTGAGCGTGTTATCCCAGCCTGCTGTGGTAGAAGTGGCAGAAACTCTTGGTCAGGCTTCATCCCCAAGCGCTTTCCTGTACTTTGAATTTTTGATGTTTTCTCAAAGATTTCAGTGAGCATTAGTTTACATCACCATTACTCTTACTGTTGCTGCTTGAGAGGTGGGCCTGTGCAAACCTCATGAAGTTCAACAAAGCCAAGTACAAGGTACTGCACCTGGGTCAGGGCAATCCCAAGCACAAATATAGGCTGGGAAGAGAATGGATTGAGAGGAGCCCTGAGGAGGAGGACTTGGGAGTGTTGGTTGGTGAGAAGCTCAACATGCGCTCGCAGCCCAGAAGGCAACTGTATGCTGGGCTGCATCAAAAGGAGCATGACCAGCAGGTCAAGGGAGGTCTCTTGTGAGACCTCAGCTGCAGTCCTGCGTTCATATCTGGAGCCTCCAATACAAGAGGGACATGGAGGTAGTCCAGAGGAGGGCCATGAAGATGATCAGAGGGCTGTAGCACCTCTCCTACAGAGACAGGCTGAGAGAGGTGGGGGTCTTGAGCCTGGAGAAGAGATGGCTGCAGGGGGACCTTAGAGCAGCTTCCAGTACCTAAAGGGAGGCCACAAGAAAGCTGGAGAGGGACTTTCTGTGAGGGCATGTAGTGACAGGACAATGGGGAATGGCTTTAAACTGACAGAGGGGGGAGTTAAGTTAGATATAAGGAAGAAGTTCTTGACTAGGAGGGTGTTGAAGCGCTGGCACAGGTTGCCCAGAGAAGCTGTGGCTGGCCCAACCCTGGGAGGCGTACTTCAAGGCCGGGTTGGATGGGGCTTGGAGCAACCTGGTCTAGTGGAAGGTGTCCCTGCCTGTGTCAGGTAGGTTGGAACTAGACGATCTTTAAGGTCCCTTCCAACTGAAACCATTCTGTGGTTCTGTGATTCTAGTGCCTGTGCCTCTCGGGTTTGTGTCATTTTTAAAAATAAGCAGCAAGACGAGATAAAATTCTCTTTTTATGAGTAACAGCTCTGTTCCCATCACAGTTTCCCAGATTTTAAGCATAGTGCAGGACTCCATCATGCTCTAAATCTCTTTATGGATATCTGCTGTCCAGTTTAGGGCCATACAGATGCTTGTATAAACCTTTGCAATGCCTTCAAACATCCCCAGAGTGCTGAAGATTTACCATCACACAGACAGTAAAGGCAGCAGTAAAATACACTGGAAATCTACACGCCCATATCATTAATACAGACCTTTAAATACTGTGGTCTGTACACATCTTTGTGATGATCACTGACTCATACTCTCACACTTCCTTGGGAAAATGAGGAAAAGATAGCCAGCCTAACTGCGTGACATTGGTAAGTTTAGCACTTTCACGTAAATATGTGCCTAAACCTCAAAAACAAGGCTCCTTTGAAATCTGCTCTGTCTCCAAAGAATGACAGCCAGATCTTACAACCATGATGCAGGAATAATCTTACCGAGGTGTGTAAATAAGCAGTCCAAATAGAAAATTTCTCCGTTTTCCTAATTTTTAAGCAGTTTGTAGCAGCTGTAGACTCAGCCATATGGGGGAGTTACACTCTTAAGTAATACAAAGGAAATAGATATATTTAGGAAAACATCATGAAAGCTATCAGAGTTTTCTGGAAACAGGACATGTTTTATTTTTATCATTCTGGAGGGAAGAAATACTGTGAGTGTAGAACAGCCCTTTGAAAATCTTCTTATAATCTCTTTGGGAGGTCTATGCAGAACTCAAATCCTTTGTATCTGAGTCTGGAAGACAGCATACCAGTTGAAAGACAGTCAGAAAAGTACACATAAAGTGTATATAGAAAGGTGTACACAAAAAAGTGTACAGAAAAAGTACACCAAAGTGAACAAAGTGTACTTTGGTGTCTAATGCCAAATACATTAGATGCTTTTAAAACAATGTCCAGAAAGATCAAATCCAAACAAGAATAAAAGCTGAAAAGAAAAGTGTAATTTTGTATAGGAAAGAAAATACAGATTTACTGTATTTTTTTTTTTCATGTTACTCATTTCTAAGTCTTGGTATCAATAAAGTTACGCATGTTAATTAGTCCTAATAAATATATATATATATGTACACACACATATATATACACTCACAACCACAAGTTATATATGTTCCCCAGCTGCATCCATCACGTATGCCTACTCAATGTAGAACACAGTAAGGCTCTGCAGCCCAGGAGCTACATCTGTGATTCACACATTCATATGCAGCCCAAAAGCAGCAGAGAGTGAGCAGAGCTGAGCCTGGGACCCATTGTG